GTAACGGATGGAAAACACAAATATCTTCACTCCGTCACTATCATTTTTATATGATGATTTACGTCTCCTAGTGAAGTGATAAATGGTCAAATATCCGTCTTAAATAGAAAAAAATACAGCACAAAATTCTCTTTTACACACAGTGAAACTTTTACAACAGTTAAAATTAATTAACGTCTACGCTAAAAAGTCTTTGAAAAACCAAATACAAAGACAACAAACACTTAGAGGGATTCGTGAGGTCCGCTGGTTCGTTCCGTGGTTTAGTTGGTATACCGTCTGGCACGGTATGCTAGAAGACGTCGGCTCGAATCCGGCTGGATCGAAGGATTTTTTTCTGAGTGTTCGATGTTTTATGATATTTTACTAAATTATTTCGCCACTCAGATCTTTGCGATGTACAACTCTAAGTGGCAACTGTTATGGACAGGCGTGCTGCTTACCACCAGGCACGTCTGTTGGTAAGCGACGGTACGGACAGACATGTCTGTAGCTTACCAGGAGTAAATTAACACAGCAGGCACAAGATGTTGAGATCCTGGATTCGATTCTCGGAAGAACCAATTTGGGAAATGTCTGAAATCTTTTGTGTTAATTGCGCTACTCTGGGTACTGCTACTTTTTTCACAACATAACAATTATGGCTTTTGCAAAGGGCGGTTTTTTGTTTTTTTTCTATCAACAGATGGCCAGTTAGCTATTCTTCCATAGATAATACAACTCGCACTAAATTTTGTAAAAACTAAAGCGCCATACGTCCATAGTGGATTGTCAAAAAAAAATTGCTAAATTTTTATACAGAAAATAATTGAAATCAATTATAAGAAATTCTTAATAACGAGTATTTAAGTGGCATGTGGCTGAATTGCAATGAAATTTCTGTTTAGTATAACATTTTAAGCCAAAGTTTTCATCTTGAACGTAAGTAACTTTCTAGCTTGAACTTGAACCTGACCTATGTAAGGAAGTATGACGTGATACAAATTAAAAAAAAAACTCCTTACCGACCATGGCTGAATCGAATGTTTTGAATATTTACCTTTATTGAATTTTTCTACACAGATCACTATTCTTCTCCACGCAAGCCGACTCAGAAATGTCACTGTCGGGACAAAACATGCAGTCTCGCTCACACGAACTATCCTGGTGTAAACGAGCAAACGAGATGGCGCTACCTTCTCTAGCTCTGGATTGTGTTAAAAGGAACGCCACAAATCTTTACGAAGACGAAACTCTTCCATGGTTGCACGAAAAATTGTCTGCCCTCAGAGCAGTTGGTTTAAGAAAAAACGACCATGACATCCTGAGAAAAGCGCTTCATAATGCTGGTACGCTTATTTTTAATCTTTATTTTCGGTTTTGAATGGTAAAGATAAGGCTAGAGTGTGAAAAAGCTCGTCCAAAGAAGTACTTCCACTTCACCTATTTCTGCCGCCAAGCGATAAGGCATGCATTACTGCGTTCAGGTTTTAAATGGTGCTGGTGAAATTACGTGCACATGGGAGTCTCAATTCATATCTCAGGGTGACAGGAGCAGTCGCAGTGCCCTTGGTATTTAAAAAAATTAGAATTGAGAACTGATGATTTTGCCAATGTCACAGTTGAAAGAAAAAAAACGAAACAAAAAAAAAATTTTCGCTAAGCTCTAATAGGACATTAACCGGTGTTGGTAAGTTGGACTACGGGAGTACTCAGTTGAGAATATAAAACAAAACAGCAAAACAATATTTATAAATAGGTTTCCTTGTTCTTTCTTATTAACCGGCTTCAAACAAAAGAGAAGGTACTCAATTATTCGACTATTTTTCTTCGACACTTTGTGAACCAATTACGATGATTCTTCGATACAGACGATTTGTTATTGGAAAGGGGGTACTTAAGTAGTGATTTCATTCGAATTTGAATAAAACATTCCACCTCCAAGGGTCGTATTCTAGAACTCTACGTAATGCTCAAGTCAGGATTGCACTGGAAACACAAGCACTGGAAATACGACCCTAATGGCAGGGACTTGAGTATGATATCAAGTGCTTTAAACCATACTCAAACCCTGACTTGAGCATTGAGTAGAGTTCTAGAATACGACCCTAAGGGTGGAAATAAGTTGATGAATCAGGTTTTTTGGATGTCACACACTTTCCGCTAACCGATTTCAATAAACCGTGGCAGATACACACTTCAAAAGTGTCAGGGAGCAAGCTAGTTTTTGCCAATTACTGAAAATGAGACATAAATTGACAAGTCCCATTTCACCAGTGCCTCTAGCATGAGTTTACTGTGACAGTTCTCGATAGCGACAGCGTAAAATATTTGTATACAAAATGTTAATTCTTGTAACCGCTAGGGGCGCTATATAATATGCCATACAAAATTGTGAAGTAATTTACGCGGTCGTTAACAACTGTCACAGTAAACACATGGTAGAGGCACAGCACCCGCTTAAAATCATATTCGCAATTATAATAATAATAACACACACTCAACATAGCCCCGCACTAGGGAAACCCTGTGTCGCGGGTGCAATGGACACACATAAACAACAACAAATACACCCAAACTCACGAGAGAAATTAATGTAGGCCGTACAAATATTTCTCCCGGCCCGGTAATCAAACCTGGGACCTCTGCGTGACAGTCCGGCATGGTGACCGTTCGGCCAATATAATATATAATACAACAATATAGTATATATACGACTTATCCGTAGAACAAAGCAAGTCTACTTGTTCTTAGGACCATCGACCATTATTCGATTTTATATTTCCGAAACGAAATAAGATATATAAATTTTCAAAACCCCTTTACATAGGCCTTAGTTTGAATAACGAAATTATTCTCGTAACGTACTTGTCCTCTTGTCGCTACATAATCACATCTGACTCTGTCCTTCGGATGAGTCCATATATATATATATTACACCAAGTGACGAGACGAACAAGTCGTGCGCCTGGTGGTAAGCGACACGCCTGTCCATAACAATTGCAGTGCCACTCAGAGCTTTAAATCGTAAAGATCTTAGGGGCACTGCCACTACGCCCGTCACCATGAAACATAACTTGACAAGTCCCATGTGCCTGTAATTTCACCAGCACCCTTACCCTTCAAAACCGGAACACAGTAATGCTCACATTACTGGTTGGCGGCAGAAACTGGTAAGGTGGCACTACTTCCTTAGACGTACTCTTTCACAAGAAGCTCTGCTGCTACAAATTTTTATATTTCAGTCATTGACTTACAATTATATGGACGTCGGGTCCGCGCTAAAAAGTGTCCGAACTTATAGGTCGTTAAAATCGTATACAGAGCGTCATTCACGCTTTAGTCTTCGTTTGTTCGACTGACAGCGAAGCAAGCAAAATTAGACAGTACTGCGATGACATTACAATTTAAATTCAACGTTTTAGCTTTTTCATATTCCTTTACATGTCACTACGTTTAAATAGGTTGACTTGGGACATTTTTTTCGTGGTTTTTGTATTAGACCCGTCGTCCATTTATTTGTAAGTCAATGATTTCAGTGCTTTTTTTTGCCTACAGAGACCAATACACCAAAATTTCTACATCAATCCACTCCAGCAGCTATAATAGCAATGAAAAAATTAATACTACAACTGAATTGCGATCTCCAGTCAACGTCTGTTGAACAAACGGATGACATATTGGAGGAAATAAATGCATATACAAGAGATTGTACTGGAAATAACGATTTAAATCATTTGTACGATATATCTGTTATTATTCTGGATAACATTTGGCAAAATTCTGGTAAGAGCTTTTTCTTGTTTTTATAACTGTCAAGTTATATAGTAAAATTTTTACTGCTGATGCGGTATCTGGCAGCACGTTTAGTATATACCATGTCTTGAAAATCAAGTCAAGATACTGTCAGACTATACTATATTATGACTACATACTCTCAACGTTATATAGGCGGGGCAAATAAGTGCGATTAGAACCTTATGCTAAACATTATAGCGTTAAGACAGTATCTGGCAACAGCACGTTTAATATATACTAGTCTTGCAACAGAAATGTAAATACTATAAAGGTCTCAACGAAATAGATTCATTATTGCACTTTTTTTACCTTTGTCTAGCAGTGGGATAAGAGAGGCTTATAAAAAAATATACTTAAAATAACACAAAAGTGCTAAAACCCACGCGCCCCACCGTCAAGCAATATGCGCACGCGCCTGATCCTTCGCGAACGTTATGAGCTTCCGATAAAAGTTCCAGAAAGTGAAACAGATGTAAAAAAGCGAGCGGAACTTCCACAGTTGCGGAACCAGAGAAGTCTGATATGATGTTTTTAAAAGTTTATACAAGATACTGCCTGTAAAATTTATGTCTTATATAAGTCAAACATCATCTGGCATCAGGACGTTTAGCATGTACCCAGTGGTGATAAATAGAGTCCAATGTACAAAGATAACTTTGAACTTTTTCAGACACATCTCAACATAACGAACTTCTGTCTACAATGTCGAACATCCTAGACCGAGTTACAGGCCAGTTCAGGCGCGAAATGTTCCTAAATGTCATTCTGAATAGACTGGATGATTATTGCGACACGTTGCCTGAACATCTAGCCAAAAAGTTACTGGACGTGGTAAGTACAAACAATATAATCTCAGTACAGAGTACTAAAAAAACCGACCTCAAACGTACGTGGAATTACATACCAAGTTTTATTCAAAATGGGTTCTCACTACTCACAGTATATAGAAAGAGAAAAACGCCTTGAATTGGAAAATAGCAAAATCAACCATTAAAACAATTGCTCCTTATAATAAAATTTAGGCGCTATTTATAAAAATGAACCTTCATGCGTGAACAGCCACCCTTAGAAGTAGATGATTTTTTTCAAAATTTCCCAAAAAAAAAAATTTCACAAAATCTTTCCAACAAAAAAAAGAATCATGAAAATCGGTTCACAAATTGTTACCGCGTAACACGCATGCAAAAAAATACAGTCGAATTGAGAACCTCCTTCTTTTTTTGAAGTCGGTTAATAAATTAAAATAAAACAGACAAAAAGCAATAAACATAATCTCAGTGCAGAGTACTAAAAAAAAGACCTTAAAAGCTCGTGGAATTACATCTATTTGCCACGTCAATTGCAAGTCAAAGTCAAAGATTATTTATTCCATAGGTCAAATAAATTTACACTTTAAAACGTCACATTTAAGCTACTGCTCGTTCAAGTTTTTTGAAATCTGTTACCGGAAAGCGCACAAAACTGCATGAATCTATCATCGTAATTTGCCACCCTTAGAGGTAGAATATTTCCTTCAAATTTGAATGAAACCTAATACTGAGGTACCCTCTTTTCAACAAAAAAAGAATTGAGAACCTCTTTTTTTGAAGTTGGTTAAAAATAACTCTAACAATTCATGCTGTCATAAGTGCAGCTGTGGCACGCAAAATAACCTCATTCACCTTAAGCCGCAGTCGTAATTAGGCCGTGGTGCTGATTTTCAATGGACTCTAATAACACGTTTCAAGTGTATAAGTTTGTAAAAAATAAACAAAAAAAAACTAGCTGTTCTTGACAGTCTTTTTCATAAAGTCTCAAATTTATTTAAGGGGCAATGTATACGCTTCTACAATAACATTCCGGATGACATTCAAAATGCCATTTACGAGGGTTAAAACTATAGTGAAACAAAAACTTTATACTAAAGGTTATTGTACAGCATACTTCGATGACAAAAATCTATTCAAATGCATATTTACAAAGGCCAAACCCTAGAGTTTCTTACTCATTCTTCTCAGGGGAATCTGTCTTACGAATGGGTAGTAGAGTTTAATCAGTATGACGATGTCAAGTGTAATACGTATGAAATCAAGATTATTTAATTATGACTTTGAAAAAAAAAATTGTCACGCTTTACTTCGATTAGACCTGTGCCCAGTAGTCGGACTAATGAACATTTAAAAAACACAATTTCAGATTCAAACAATTTCTCCCGACGAATTCACAACCAATCATCTGCTGAAACTGACAAAACTATTCCCCACTCACTTGCCCCCGCTTTATTCCTTCATGAGTGAAAGGAATAACAACAGTCTGTTGAAGTATAAGAAGTGCCTACAACTTATTTGCGACCCTGAGTACACGCTGTTTAAATATTGCGAGGCGTTATTGCATTCTTTGAGTGCTTACGGTATGTATTTTTTATTATGGTATGTAATTCAACAAGGTTGGCACGATTAAATCATTTTGATTTAAAGCATGATTTAAATCGTGATTTCAATCAATTTTTTTTTTTTAATCAGTGATGTAATCAAATGTGTTAAATTTTGTTTTCTTTCACAGAAATCAACATAAAATCAGACAATTATATTTTAAAGACTAGGGTCGTTTACATCTGAGAAATCAACATCATTATTGTAATACTTACACAAAAAAACTAGTTTGCCGCGGTTAACTAACCTTTTACATTACTGCGTTTTACGCAGAAATATAGTTCCTAGATGAAAAAAATACTAAATCTTGTTTAATTAGGATTTTTTCAAAAATAGTGCCTTATTCGAATTATTACCATGCTGGTCTGTCACGGGTTCGATTCCCGGGCCGGGAGAAATATTTATATGGCCTACATTTGTTTCTCTCGTGAGTTTGGGTGTAATTTATGGTTGTCTATGTGTGTGTCCATTGATGAGTGTTTTTGTGTATAACATCAAGGCACGGGACGAATAAGTCGTGTGTTTGGTGGTGAGTGACGCGCCTATCCAAGACAGTTGCAGTGCTACTCAGAGCTTTAAATCGCAAAGATCTGATGGGCATTGCCACTGCGCCCGTCACACTGAGATACAAGTACCATGTGCCTGTAATTTCACCAGCACCCTTAATCCTTCA